CACATGTCAACAATTTTTGCATTCTGCTTCACAATCATTAATATTGACCCCCAGGCTGATTTTCGATAGCATTTGATTGTGAAGCACAGATCTAATTTGGCAGCATTGTATAACATGCTTTCATTATTCTGTCTGTTGGGTTACTTAGTGATGCCGGACAACCCAACCATCAGTTTTTGAAACCAGTGGAAAATTTATGAATCATTATGCAAATTTTGTAATTAATATGCACAGATTTCCACCAAAAACTAATCAGCTCTATGCATTGTTCCAGGGCAACTATGTACCAAGTTCCATTGAAATCTATCGATCCACGTTCATATATCACTAGCAGTGATGTATCCTTTTGTTGTTCGTATCCAGTACATCATGGAATTTTAAAGTTACTGAATGTTTATACGAATGGTATACGAGGTCATGAAAATTGAAACGTTTCTTCAGATAGAGATTTGACGAGCGTGGCGGTGTCGTTTGAGTTAATCAAGTCATCAGTTGTATTACTTTCATTGTTCTCAGCAGCCGTGGTATGATCAACAGATTCTTTTTCATTTAAATTACGCGTGGCAGCAAGGTCTCCAAGTTCCACGGTTTTATTTTCAGGATCGTATTGAGTACTGTTTTCTGCTACAGCAGTAGTAGTATCCATACAATCACTTTCATCATGTTGAAATGTAGGAGTAGTAATAGTAATAGTAATAGATTTAGACACTACGATCGCACAATTTTCCTCATCAGGATAATCAGTACAAGTGACTTTGTTTTGATCACCGGTATGATCAGGCACATCATTTTTGTCATTATGTCGGTTGTTGTGCTCAATCTGTGTGGAAACAACTTTATCTTGTGGTTTATCATTAGATACAGTGGCAATATTTTCAAAACAGTTTCTTTGTATATGGCCTTTCTGGTGGTATCTATGACATGTAATTTCATCCATGGAGAGATAAATGCGATACAAACGATCTTAGTGTACATCAATATGCATGTAAACTTGCCTACAAAATGAATTAATGTGTTTAAGCATGGGGTTTTTACATCCCAGTGGTATTAAACTAATCGTACTGACAATACGTCCATATTTCAATAGTTCTGTATGCAACACATTGTTTGAAACAAAAGGGGGAACCCCAGATATTATAACTTTAGTACCGGTAGCGGGTTTGACCAACGGCTGTATGGAAATATTTGATTCACCAATAGCGATGTGGCCAACAGCACAAATCCTTTCAACATCAGTTACATTTTTCAGGAAAACAAGAACAGCTCTGGGATGCCGCTAAAATGTTCTGTGGCTCAACCACACTTGAAATTTTTGCACGTACATCTCAATACTAATACCCTCCACAGAGTCACACTGAATACCATGCTTAGGTGTCAGTCCACTAAACAGATGTGGTAGACTCGTCATGGCAGCAGCCATCTTGGCTTGCTGCTGGTCCAGTCTGGACGAACTCAAAAATAAAAATGAACGTGAAATATGTATTTTACACTTTAAAGTAAAAACAAATTCACCAAATAAAACAGCGTCACCTTATAAAAGCGTCAGTACAAAATTATCCCTTCACTTTGCTTGCAGGTAGTCAAAATCCAACAATTTCTCAGGAGCTTGTGTGGGAGACATGTGCACTCATGTATGAACATACATCCATACATACAGTACACACAAATACACACACACAGGCTTCCATTATAAAACGTAAAACTTAAATATAAGAAGAGAATTCATTCTTTCAGACTTCTAGATGTTTTTGTCAAGAAGTTTTTGGATGCCAAATTGATTATCAGCTTGTCCGAAAAATATGATAACTGATTGGTTAGAATGCCTTGTCCAGGCATCCGTAAATACTCAACCTTCTCACATGCAGGGTTGCGGTTATTCTAAAGTAAAGATTATTCTGAATTTGGGGCAAAGGACAAGCCATGACCAAAGATTTGATTGATGAAATGATGTCAAACTATACTTACTCCAAAAATTATCATAAAAACTTTCTTTTTGGAGTCCAAAGTAGACTGCTGTAGCATTATCAAATGGATTATGGTCACCATGTGCATATGGAATATTTTTAGGTCCATCCACAATGAAAAAACTGAGAAGTACAGATATCAATCCCACGATGACAGTCATGAATATTATAAGCACAGTACGTGCAAACATCTGTGCTCCAACCATACACACAATAAATGCCAAAAAAAGCAGTATTGAGGAGTACAGAAAAATCCACCATCTATTGGAAGGTAATCCACTTGATCCTTCTGGTAACATAAATCCTATAATATATAATGTTATAAAATTAATGAGAAGTGTATCAGTATGTTCATATCTGTGTATGGTGATAATGCCAACAATTTAGAGCTCTAACACAAACAAATTTATGGAAAAGTGATTTAACAATATATCAAAACACTAAGATATACGCAATTGATTCTGTCTATTTGCCTTAATTTTACACAAAGTAATCTAACATAGATTGGTAGAAATAAATGGTAATTTCTTTATCTGTGTTTTGGTTCTTTCATGACCATTGGATTTGAAATTTTCACACTATATAGACAGCCCCTAGATAATACAGAAGTCACATGTGGTGATAGGTCAAGTCATATTTGCATTATTACATTTTATTGCCAACAAGGTTAAGTCTGAAAATGTTTCCTTCGTGGAGGTATGTAAGAAGTGTGAAAAACACAAAAAGCGGATGCAAAGTGCAGAGCACACTTTTAGAAAGAAACAGAGGACTGATGAGAAAACAGGAGTTTGGACACATTAACCACAGAACATGTACATGATAATACAATAGAGTAAGGACAGTGAACAAATTTCTTACTTCAAGATACTCATTTGAACAAGTCATGTATGGCACAGTCCCTGTTAGTTATCAAATTTAAGATATATAGTTTTGTTTATAGTAATATAGTTGGAACATAAACATGTCAGAAGTATGGATCCAGAAGATGATGCTTGATTACGATGATTTTTTAACATTAAAACTAGTACATGTAGCTTCGCGGTGAGTGGCGTTCCAGCAGTAACACTTCTCAAAGGCGTATTTCGCGGTCAGTGTTATTTACGAAAATATTTGTTTATAATTTTATAAACTTGCAATTAGATATAATGTGTACATATTTTAATAAATAAAGATATACTAACAAAAATTAAATATTAATTATTTCATATTTTATTATATAACCTGCACAACAGGTTTTTCCTTGCTAGAATGATGTGTAACTTCATACGGGAATCCTGATAAAGTTCACAACTGGTGATTTAGCAATATTAGGGATTGTCAACTTCCTGTGAATTTGATTACCTAACGTTTTTAGATTCATGCACTGCAAGTTACAGAGCATGTACCTAAGCGACAGTCCCCCAGCAAATAATGAAGCCAAGGGGTTTTTCGATATTGAAATCACAAAACTCTGGAAAGTTTGAATTACTAAATGAAGTACAGGATGACGACGCTGAAATATCCAAGAACCAACACATACCAAAAATTATACCTCAAAAGTGTATATTCGTGGTGTATTTTAAGTCTAACCGGACCGGGAGTGGAAATTTGTTAGTACCATACTCTAAATATCCAAACATATTTTAGTATAAGATAGTAATAATTGACATCTTGTATCTGATCGTCAACGAGTACTTGTCCATATTGAGAAATATTGCTCTGGAACAGCATTAATTAAAACAAAATGGCCACCAGTAGGTCATTTTGAATACATCTATATTTATATACCGGTATATGCGGTAATAAAGGAATTAATACACAACTACATGAATATTGAAACTCGACAGCACTGTTTCGT